CCGGGTTTCACCCCTCCCCCCCCCCCAGCGGAGCCACATCGGCGAGCGGGCCTACCGCTGCCCGGACTGCGGGAAGCGCTTCAGCAACAGCTCGCAGCTCATCCGGCACCGCCGTATCCACACCGGGGAGAAGCCGTACACCTGCTCCGACTGCGGGAAGAGCTTCAGCCAGAGCTGGGGGGTTCTCCGGCACCAGCGGATCCACTCCGCCGAGTCGCCCTACAAGTGCGCCGTGTGCGGGAAGAGCTACAAGGGGAAGGATTCGCTGGCGTCCCACCAGAAGGTGCACGCCCGAGGCACGGGGGCGCTGCCCGTGGGGTGACGGAGCCGTGCCCTCCGGGATGATGGCTGCTCTGGGGTGTCGGTGGGGGAGGGAACACCGGGTCCTTGGCAGATGGGTCATTTCAGGGTTGGCGGGAGATATTTCGGGGGCCCCCCCCACATACTTTCCAAGCTAACGGAGAGGCAGATGTAACCCTCACCAGGTAGATTTGAACTTGGGACCTCTGGAGCTTAGTATAGGAGCATGTCCCCCAGTGTCTGTATAACTGACACATCTACTGGGGGTCACTGTCCCATGCACCTAGCAACAGTGAAGCCCAAGAGACCTCTACAGCAGTGTTTCTTAAACTGTGTTCCAGTCGGAGGTGTGCCGCGGAGAACAAGAGTTAAAAAAAAAAAAATGGCCGCTCTTAAAGGGGCAGGAGACTTTTTTTTTTTTTTTTTTTGCTCAATAATTTTTTCCCGGCCTCTTTTTATTTTTTTAACAAAAAAATCCTCGGGGTTCCTCATTTTAAAAAAAAGTATCGTTTGGTGATCCTCGGTCTTCAAAAGTTTAAGAAGCACTGCTCTACCCTCTGAGCTAAAAGCCAGCTGGCTCCCAGCCCATACTGTACCGCGGTGTTTATTAAACTTTTGAAAACCGAGGAACACCAAACGATAATGTTTTTTAGGGGTTTGGAACAGGTCCCATATGAGGAGAGATTAAAGAGACGTGGAACTCCTTGCTGGAGGAGGGGGTTAAAGACTAACAAGATGGTTTCTTTATTTGATCTGAGGAAGTGGGTCTGGCCCACAAAAGCTCATCATCTAATAAACCATCTTGTTAGTCTTTAAAGTGCTGCATAGTCCTGTACTGGACCTCAGAGTTTGAGTGTTTGTCAACCAGTGGAACTCCTTGCTGCAGGAGGGGGTTTGAAGACCAAAAGTATAACCGGGTTCCAAAAGGAGCTAGGTCATTTCATGGGAGTCAGGATGGGCAGGGAGTCAAACAAAAGCATCCGACGAAGTGGGTCTTGGCCCACGAAAGCCGATGCTCCAATACATCTGTTAGTCTATAAGGTGCCACGGGACTTTTCGTTGTTTAAACAAAACCGTGGTAGAACTGGCAGGGACCTCGAGAGGCAAAGAGTTCAGTCCCCTGCCCTCCCGGCAGCACCTCGCACCAGCTAGACCAGTGTTTCTCAACCAGGGGTACGAGGACCCTGAGGGGGGTGTTACGTCCACGCCACGGACATTGGGAGAAAACGGAAAGTTTGTTTTCCGTTTGACAGCGCGTTATTATTTTGGGGGGACTTTTGACACCCGAAATTGTCGCCGCCCGCCCGGCGACGATGACGGGGTTGAAACAAATCAGTTGCCACGGTAGACAAAAAAAACGTGTGTGTCTGAAAACTGTAGGTACTGGGGGGTGCTTGTACGTCTTTTTTAAAAAAGGGGTACTTTGTTTAAAAAAAAGGTTAAGAAACACTGAGCTAGAGTTATCCCTGTTTTCAGGCGGGGGGAGCCTCTCATAGAGGGGGCGGAGTATTGCTGAACTAACGGGAGAACCCCTACCCCGGATGGCGGGGTAAAAGTGGGTTTTGTGTCCCAACGAGGCTGCCATTTTTACCTCACTACCTTTCTTTTTTTGTGTGGCTCAAATACGGAGCTAATAAAACAATCTGTGGAACGCCTTGCTGTCGACCTGTGGAACTCCTCGCCGGAGGAGGTTGGGAAGGCTGGGACTCTAACAGGGTTGAAAAGAGAATTAGCTCAAGTCATGGAGGTTAAATCCATTCATGGCGATTAGCCAGGATGGGTAAGGAGTGGTGTATCTAGCGTCTGTTTGTCAGAGGGTGGAGATCGATGGCAGGAGGGGGGAAAACCCACAGGAAAACGTTCGTCGTGATCCAAATTCGGTCAATGACACAGTTTAACGTTTTAGGGGATGCAGTGGTTAAGCACCCCCTGCTTGATCAGTCCCTGTTTGGTTTCTCCCTCTGGGGCACCTGTCATTGGCCACTGTCGGCAGCCGGGACGCCAGGCTAGATGGGCCTTTGGTCTGACCCTGTAGGGCCGTTCTTACGTTCATTCCCGCCTAACCAGGAATTTCCTCAATTCTTGGCTTCTAGGGAAAATCTCCATAATCAGTTCAGCTCCCTTCCATGTTTGGGAGGAAGAATCGCTCACTCTGCTGGGGTCTCTTGGGGGGAGGAATAAAAGTTTAATTTCGGGGAGCGGGGTGCTGCCGTCAGAGAACTCAGCTACCGTGCCGCCTTCTCCGTGTCTCCGGACGAGGGGCGTCTATGTTTAAGCGCTGAACGGAGAGATCGCTGGAGTCAACCTGTGGAACTCCTTGCCGGAGGAGATTAGGAAGGCTAGGATTTAAAAGAGAACTAGATCAAGCCCCTAGTTGGGCATCAGGTTGTCGTTTCAACTCACCGGCACCCCGTTGGCTCCTGGGAGCCAGCTGTGTGGAAGGAAAAGAGGGGGGGCTGGCAGGCAGGACCCTAGGAGTGGGTCCAGCTGGGGGAGAGAGGGGGCGGAGCCTGCCGAGAGGGGCAGCGGCCCGTCCTGCCCAACCGCTGCATCCCCTAACATGTTGAACTGTGTCATTGACCGAATTTGGATCACGACAAACGTTTTCCTGTGCGTTTTTTCCCTCCGGCCCGTGCTACACACAAACAAAACAACCCCCAAAAAGCGCAGTGAGGTTTGCCCTACGCTATTGGGGTTGCGGGGCGGGGGCGGGAGGGTTGAAATTGACCACCACGTTGACATCACTGGCAACACAAAGCGGTTGCTTCGAGCGCCTCGGTTTCCCATCCGGCAGGATGGCTTTTCGGGAAATCAGGCGGCCGAAGGAGCCGGCGTGACTCGGCGCAAAACCGGGGACCGGAAAAACGGGTGCCTGGTTCTGTGTGCGAGCGTGGTCCTTCGGGAGGATTCTGGCTTCCGCCGGGTCGAAATCCAGCGCCCGTTAACGACAAACGAACCCAGGGCAGCGGCGCCTCCCAGACCGCGGTTGAAAAAGGCCCAGGAGTTTGTCACGGACAGGGCCTGGCGTGAACGGGGTTGGCTCCCCCGTTTTGAGACGGCAACCCCCGGAGGAGGGGGGAAACCTGAGCGGGTCTCCCTGAGGGGGACCCTGAGAGCCCCCCCAAACTCCTCGCCATGACACGTCCGGGCCACGGTCCCCCACAAAGGGGGCCTCCGGTGCGGGATAAATTTTCATCTGCCGAAAAGAATGGGCACCCGTTTTAGTTTGCAGGTACGCCGAACGCAGGATGTGGGCCGTGATTTTCAGAGAGGGGCCGCTTAATGAGTTGGGTGGGTGGTCCCAAACCGGCTCCACCCCCGGAAGGGGCGGGGCTTGGGATCCCCTGGGAGTGGGGCCGGAGGCTTGCGAGTGTCAGGCTGGCTGAGGAGTCTAAGGTGCCAGACTTCCTGTTTTTCCCTCCCTTGGGCAGGCTGGTCGCCAAACGGAGTCATGGGTTCAAATCCGCCTCCCGACGTCTCCGCTGGTTTCGGGGAGGGATCGCTCAGTGGTTTGAGCGCTGGCCTGCTAAACCCAGCGTTGGGAGTTCAATTCTTGAGGGGGGCCAGTTACAGATCTGGGGCAAATCTGTCAGGGGAAAAAAATGAAAAAGACAGCGAAGGGCTCTTCTTGAGGGGGGCCAGTTACAGATCTGGGGCAAATCTGTCAGGGGAAAAAAATGAAAAAGACAGCGAAGGGCTCGGCGGCCGGCCCCACCTCTCCTGCGTGGCCTGGCGGCGTGA